TTGGTGTATCTGTTGATAGTATACGTTACACAAACATACGGTGGAAGTTGAAGTGTTTAAATATATAACAAACACAAAATTTTGAACAAAACAATAACTGTAATTTGGTTTTATTTAACGCTCTACTCTCAAATGTAATTCAACAATCACAGTGAAAAATATTACGTGAAGCGGTGGCAAATCGAACTAAATTTCTTATATTGCCAGTTTTTTTACAGAACTTTAAATTTTAACAATATAGCTAGATTGTAGCACGACCTTACAGAATACCAACGCAGTAGTTTCGCTTGGTTAGTGCAAGTGGCCGGACTACCAAGCCTCCTCCCGTACGGTACGGTACGGGGAGGCCGTAACTTGGTAGCGGTATTTCAAAATAAAAGATTACCCTAGGAGGGTACTAGCACCCCTAGTAATGGAGAATTCTTCACTGAGCATTCACGCCCAAGTTACCCTACTCTCGGGCGGGAGTACTCAGGCTGCCCCGCGTATTCTGGGGGGTGCAAAATCCTGCTCACTGCTAACACTGCAGGGGGCAAACAGAGCGATAAAACCATGGTAACCACACTAGGCATGGACTTCTGTAACGTCAGGGGACTTCACTCAAACCTTAACGCCGTCCAGCACCATCTGGAGAGTACGAAGTCGACCGTGCTCTTTTTGACCAAGATGCAGGTGTCCTCTCCGGCTGATACTTCATACCTGTCCAACCGGGGTACAAATTAGAACACTTCTTTGTGCCCCGAGCTGGAGTTTGCGCTTGTGTGAAAGAGGGTATCTGTTCTTGACGCCTCAGCAGTCTTGAAGATACGGACTAGCCCTTTGGCTACGCGTAGATAGCGACCATCATCCGCACGTCTACGGGTGCCTATAGGTCCCATAGTGATTATGCCGAAACGCACCGTCTCATTGACCACGTCTTTATGGCTGCAAATTCCTGACTACACCATTCGCAGAGAAAGTGATACTTAGCTATTTTAACACCCATCACGCTGGATGGCTCAGTTAACGTTTAACCGATTATGCGGGGAGATCTGTATATGACTTTGGCTTGGGATATGGTCGGACACAACTGGTTACTTCACCTACACGGATTAAAGACGTGGAAGATCATACACCTTCCCTGTGGGACCTTCTGATTACCTCTCATCCGGAGGGATATCAGGTTTCTGTCGACGCCCCTCTCGGCTCTCTGGATCATTGTCTGATCCGGAATATAGTGCCACTCACACTCCCTTCGCAGTTACGTTCTGGACGCTACCGCCTTGTTCAGAATTACAGGTCAACCGATTGGGACAAAATACGCCCTTTTTTTGCATGCTACCCATGGGGACAGGTTTGCTTTTTGTCTGATGATCCCAGCGCTGTTGCTAACTCTCTCTCTGATGTGGCGCTACAGGGAATGGAACTATTTATTCCAGTTTTGTCTGTCGAAAGCAGATCTGAACTTTGGTTTGATCGCTCGTGTAGGACTGCATTTTGCAGTAAGCTGGAGTGTTATCAGGCCTGAACAAACGCCTTGGAGGTTCGAGATGTAAATACCAGCAAGCTTCAAAAGAAGTATAGCTTCGCTTCTAGGCCCTTCAAAAGAGTTATTTGCCAAGACAAAGTATGAGTATTGATTAAAACTACTTTTATGGATTTTATCGCGTTTTTTTTAATACCCGACGTTTCGGGTGCTTTCCAGCACCCATGGTCACGGGGAACTGAGGTAACTGACGTCCCGATGCCAAAGTTATCCCGGAGTAACTTCATCTTTTTAATAATGGTCTTTGGTCCGATCTACGCAAAATGAACTAACTACGTTTTGAAGTCTTGCAGTGGTATGCTTGGGTTTAGTTTTAATTTTATTAATTATAGGGTCTAATGAAATTAGGATTTTTTTTTATTTCAATAGCCTCACGTATCATCCTTGGTGGGAATCGATGTTCTTTCGTGAGGATTTGTTGTCTATCAAATCTGATCTGATACGATCATAAACTGCAGACTTCCCGGAAAGTTGATGCTTCACGCCAGTTATGTGTTCTTTTACGCGGGTTCTAATTGATCTTTTTGTTTGCCCTATATATGAGAAACTACAATCACAATCAAGCTTGTACGCTCCTGCATCATGTAGAGAAATATTACACTTGACGGATGATAGGAACTGACTAATCTTCTTCGGCGGCTTGTAGAATGTTCTAATAGAAGCTCGCTTCAAGATGTAGCCAATCTTGTCTGTGATATCTCGCTCGGCTGTGGCCGGCTTCACTCGGTCACTGTGATTAGGCGCGGGACCCGAAGCTTGTTGTCATGCAAAACCTGCTTGATGTGCTGTAGCTCGGCGGCCAGGTGTTTGCTGTCACAGATCTCTCGTGCTCTCTGTAACAAAGATTTGCCCACGGTAGCTAATTTTGAAGGATGATGGTGAGATTCACCATTTAAATATCAGTTTGTATGGGTCTTTTTTCTATACACTGTATGACCTATGGTGTTGTTAGGATTTCGGATGACTAACACATCTAAGAAAGCTAAGGAATTATTTGCCTCTAACTCCATAGTAAACTGAATTTTAGAGTTTATGGAATTAAGATGTTCTAAAAATGCAGTTACTTTATCTGAATGGGTGCTGGAAAGCACCTGAGACGTCGGGTATTAAAAATAAAAAATAAATAAAATGCGATAAAATCCATAAAAGTATTTTTAATCAATGTGTAGTGTTCGCGTAAATATAAGAAATCATTAAGTATGAGTATTTTATACGTGGTAGAGCCATGCTGCAGCTATATTTGTATGGTTGTATCAGGAGTGCGTCGGCTTGACCGGGGAAGAACCATGCTACCACCAAACTAAATATAAGTTTTCATTGCCTGTTATTATTTAGTTACTCACAAAGTTTTACATCAATTTTATAACGAAACTTAATTATAAAACTGACACATAACAATTATTCTTCTAGAAGGAATAGGTGCGTGAGTACCGAAAACTATTTCACCTTAAGAGTCTCTTAAGAGACTGCATAAAAAATTTAGGTGAAATAGTTTTCGGTACTCATGCGCCGATTAAGTTTCGTTATAATATTGATGTAAAACTTTGTGAGTAACTAAATAATAACAGGCAATGAAAACTTATATTTAGTTTGCAGTTGATGACCGACTGATATTTAATTTAATAATAATTGAAGTGTGCCATCTTTCTTAAACTTTTCTTGACAATTAAAAAATTAGAAAATCGAACTAGTCTGAAATAAAAAAATGATTTCTACTTTATAATTTACAAAAAAATACCTATGTATATATGAGCTACAAACGAGCACGCACTAACTTAACTCTAAAATTCAGTTTACTATGGAGTTGGAGGCAAATAATTCCTTAGCTTTCTTAGATGTGTTAGTCATCCGAAATCCTAACAACGCCATAGGTCATACAGTGTATAGAAAAAAGACCCATACAAACTGATATTTAAATGGTGAATCTCACCATCATCCTTCAAAGTTGGCTACCGTGGGCAAATCTTTGTTACAGAGAGCACGAGAGATCTGTGACAGCAAACACCTGGCCGCCGAGCTACTGCACATCAAGCAGGTTTTGCATGACAACAAGCTTCGGGTCCCGCGCCTAATCACAGTGACCGAGTGAAGACGGCCACAGCCGAGCGGGTGCCTGCTGTACTACTAAATGTCAGAGATATCACAGACAAGAATGGCTACATCTTGAAGCGAACTTCTATTAGAACATTCTACAAGCCGCCGAAGAAGATTAGTCAGTTCCTATCATCCGTCAAGTGTAATATTCCACAGAAGACCGAAGAGTACAATCTGCCACTTTGCCTGGCGTATGTGGACTATGAGAAATCCTTTGATACCTTCGAAATTTGGGCAGTGCTACAGTCCCTTCAGCGGTGTCAAGTTGACTGTCGGTATGTGCTGAAGTGTTTGTACAGTAGGGCTACGATGGCTATCCGAGTACAGAATCAGAGCTCGAAACCTATCCAACTGCAGAGAGGTGTAAGACAGGGTGACGTTATATCCCCGAAACTCTTCACCGCTGCATTGGAAGCTTTTTCAAGCTACTGGACTGGAAAGGATACGACATTAACATCAATGGCGAGTATATCACTCACCTTCGATTTGCCGACGATATAGTCCTTATGGCAGAATCGCTGGAGGACCTTAGCACTATGCTCAATGACCTAAATGGTGTCTCCCAAGGGATAGGTCTTAAGATGAACATGGACAAAACAAAGATCATGTTTAATCATCATCATCATCATCATCATCATGTCTCACCTATGCCGGTAGTTGTTGGGAGCACTATGCTCGAAGTTGTTGACGAGTACGTTTACTTGGACAAATAGTCCGACAAGGTAAGTCCAACTTCGACCGAGAGGTCAATCGACGGATTCAACTCGGCTGGGCAGCGTTCGGGAAATTACGACACATCTTCTCGTCAGGTATACCTCAATCTCTGAAAACTAAAGTGTACAACCAGTACGTGTTGCCAGTGATGACTTACGGATCAGAGACGTGGTCCTTCACTGCTGACCGTATGAGGACGCTCAAGGTCGCTCAGCGAGCTATGGAGAGGGCTATGCTCGGAGTTTCTCTGCGTGATAGACTCAGAAATGAGGATATCCGCAGTAAAACCAGAGTGACCGACATAGGCCAACGGATTAGTAAGCTGAAGTGGCAATGGGCCGGCCATATAGCTCGAAGAACCGATAACCGATGGGGAAGAAAGGTTCTCGAGTGGCAGCCTCATACCGGTAGGCGTAGTGTAGGGCGACCCCCCACTAGATGAAGTGACGACCTGGTAAGACATGCAGGAAGTCGATGGATGCAGGTGGCTCAAAACCGTGCTCTGTGGCGTTACTTGGGGGAGGCCTATGTTCAGCAGTGAACTTGTGAAGGGCTGTAATGATGATGAGCATTATACTATTAACAAATTGAAAATCTAGTCTTAGAATCAAGGATTTAACCTTAATTTCTATTAAAATAGTCGCATTGATCACTTGACTCATTCTAGGTTTCTCGCGGTGGACATGCAACTTTATGTATTGGCGGGCTTTCTGACTGTCACCTTGGGCCGGTCACCGCGCAGAGCTATCAAGGTCCTAAGCTGTCTTCTCGTTTGCGTGATCGTTGCCAATTTTGTTATCGCCTACAACTGGAACTTGAAGACAATGCTCTTCCACATGTATCCTGAGTAAGTATTTAAGGGAAACCTTTTATGACAGGTGTATCTCGTAAGCATTATTTTCCGCAATTATCAAGTCGCGATAACACCCTCTCCCCCCTATATGGAGTAATAACCTGAATGGAAGAGATGCAGGAGGTTTGGGACCATAATTTGTTGCAACCTTGGAGTATGCGTTGTTCAGCAATAGACATTTGAAGGGCTGTGTAGTGATGATGATTAGATTGGCATAGGAAAACGTTCATTTTTGTATTTATGTAAAGAGGGATTGTCAACAATTTTAGTCCTTAGTATTGAAGTAATATGAAGTACGTACTGAAACAGATGCTAAGACATGGTTGTTTTGTTTACAACAAGTGTTAGAGCCCACGGGCTTAGACTTAGTCTATGCCATAAAAATAATTAGTGCCTCTGATCACGCGCTCCGCACAGCCCCAAAAATTTTGTTCGCTAAATCTATAAAAATGAACATTTGAGTTCTCAAAATTAGTCATTACTATTTTGATACAAACAACATATCAAAAGTTACCGTCGCATTGTGACGAAATGAATGAGAAAAATATGAAACGGAATGTATAATCTTCTCTTCTATTAGGAATTAAGTCTCAATAGTTTCAGGGGTAGACCAATTGCTTTATGCAATGTTTTATTTCCTTGTAAGAACCTAACTCTGCCATTTCTATTAAACATTATTTTTGTAACTGTAAAAATTGTGTTGATCAATTAACAATTATATTATGTTGCCTTACAAATATTTTACAGATTTTTAAAGATTCACAAATATTTTTGCAAAAATTTATTTTTTTCCGTCTTCGGATATTTTGACCACAATTTACAGTGTAAGTAAAACCATATTTTAACTGAATCTATATTGTGTGTACTGTTTCCATTTCTGTCAAAAATACTCATTTTAACACCATTCTTTTTTGCCAGGCAGGTATTGCCTGTATTTGGAAATATTGAAGATACTTAGATATTACTAACTTTCACCACACCCTTTATTTGACCAAGAATCCACTGCTAAGCATAAGCTCTGCAATTGCAGATTACTCACAACTTTGATACTCAATCATGGTATGACATTTCATCACAATCACATCTTAAACCACCCACTTAACTAAATTAGGTGATTGATTTTCTCAACAAGAGCTCTGCTCTCGAGATACGACAAAGGGGTTCTTTTAACCCTTTTGTCGTATCTCCCCAGTTTTAGGGAACTCCCTTCATTGCCCCAGGCATTATTAAAATCCTCGACCAGCAGTTTCGTAGTCACTTGGAAGAGAAGTCTAAATAAGCCTCTACAAAGCTTGTTGCGCTCAGCAGAGAAGGACAGTATTTCATACCGACACACCGCTTGTAACTTTAGAAGGCGCAGATTGTATACTGTTCACATATATGAGCCTAGGCTCCCTTGTGCAAGGCTCCTTTCCCATAACCACGTGAAGCGTAGAGCGGCTCGAATCGTTGATAACCGAATTCTCTCTGATTGGCTCGATTCTGGCACTGGGACGAGATGTTGCGTCCTTTTTCATTTGCTATCTTTGCATTTACCCGGGCAGAGCTCTGAGAAATTGTTCGGATTAATTCCTGGCGCCAAAGTTCACCAACGCATATCGCTTCTAAACTTACGTTACCATCCCCATCATCTGTAATGCTTGGCTACTACCCTGTGATTTACTACTAGTTTTCTTCCTCGCACAACTAAATTTTCGTACGCTTGGAGCGTACATGCACGAACGTGGTATTAAAATTCAATATTAACTTCCAGTAGGTAAATAAAAAATACTTTGTGATATTTACCTAGTACCATGCAGCGAATGTGCTATTAAAATTAAACATAGATTTTTATCTTTACAGAGAGATCCGAAACCAGTTCGCTGGTGAGCCTTCTTTCAACTTCTTGTATACGGCTCCATGGAGCAACCTACCTACCTCACTGATTGGAGTTTTTGCTGCCATCCTCCTTTACTATTGGCAGCAGGTCAATTTCAAGCCCGGAGAGAGTTTGGTAAGAATTTTTACATTTATAAATTTATATATTTTATAGTTTATAGTTATTCAGATTTTCATATTCCTGGCGAAATATTTGTTGCCAAGATAATTTTGTGCAAATATAATCTATAATATTGAGAAACTTTATGCCGGCATATATTTATTTATTTTTTATTAAATTTTATAGTATATCGTAGACGTTGATGGGCCACGTCTATTTACCATCAGGTAGACTAACTCATTTGTCTCTTACCTGTTTTTAAAAAGATGCTAATATTTATATCATGTAGCTTGTGCTACCACATCTCAAAAAATAAATCATTGATGTAATGTTACATTATTTAATGTAATAATTTTTACCGTGGTAGAACCACGCGTTTCAGCACGAATGGGTCGGCTCGACCAGGGTAGGACTACACTAAGTGTCTAGTGTAAGTGTAGGGAATCGGAGACTCTTTTTACTGGAAACGAGGCATTCTATCCATCATATATCCTCAGGGATGACAACGCATCTGCATTTTGATTCTTAATCGAGAATAAATATAATCTGTGTTAGGACCACGCGGTAGCTCTTGCTGTCGCACGGATGGGCCGGCTTAAACCGGGTTGGTACCACGACCTCGCAGAATACCAGCGTGAAGTTTACCGTCGATGGTGTGTCCTACCTGGAATAGTGGTATTGGAAGTAGTGGTGTCGGGAGTAAAGGTGTTGGGAGTAGTTGTGCTGGGCCTAGTGGTGACGGAGTTAGTGCATGCATATGAGGGAGGGCGGGAGGTGCTCTTCAATCCAGGTAAGACACATCATTGTATTTAGTTAGCAGAAGGTTGCGAAGTAATTGGTATTTTTATTAGAAAGAATTTTGTTGCGTACGTAAATTTCCAAGAACGTGGCCGCAGGAGTCGAGCGCGAGACAGTGGCGTGACACAACTACTTTGTATCGATAATTTATTATGTTTGGCTTACCTAAAAGTTTGGTTTACCTTAAGTAAAACTTTACAGAAATGGGAAAAAAATGTGTTTTCGTTAAATATTTATTTACACCTCCTCTATTTTTTCTTTCTAAAATTTTATACCGTTAACCTTTTATCAGCGAGTATCTGTTTGTTAGTATTTTTAAATTACTTGATAACTTTGATGCAGTTTTAATATATTGCAAGGATAAGTAATTATATTGTAAGAGTGGTAGACTAAATTCGATCTGTTAGTAAGATAACAAGTAAAACTGAAAAAATGTCACCCATATATATATATATATATATATATATATATATAAATAAATATAAATATATATATATATATATATATATATATATATATATATATATTATATATTTGTTTGCTGTTTGTATAATGTTGTGTTCATTTCGATCCGGATATTAAAGAATATGGAAATACTTATCCTTAACGTTTTATTATATCCTCTTTTACAAAAAACATCATAATAGTTATAACCCTTAAAATTTGAAATGTATGTTGCGCTGCACTATGCCCATATGAGAGTGAGTACAATTTTCGCACAGGGTAATTATTGGAACACGAGGCTACGCCTCCTGAGATTTTGGGTTTTTATAATATGCCTTAACGCAATCATTCATAGTTAAATCTTTGTTGCATGAATGCTAGAGGTATGTGTAGGCGAAATTGTGTATTTAATGTTGTGTACTGCGAACCGGCGACACGCGTCTCGATATTAAGAAACAGTACAAGGCATTTATAGTTTTCTAGTAATCTAAATAATAAGTATTTAGATTTTTGTGTATTAGGCCCTCCCTCCCATTCACCGGCCTGCCCTGCCTGTCCCTGCCCACTCTACGAATAACCTAACTTGATTTTTATATTTCACTAGATTTTTTAATTTTTCTGTGACAATAGTGAATGTATTATCCTGTGGTAAAAGGTCTTTCCTCAGGATGCACTTAGTCTATTTCCTTGACTTAACGAAATCTGTTTAGCCGGCTTAAAAAAGTAACACATTGTAAGATTGAGTTCGTTCGTATTTATAATATTATGTGTACAGATATATTTTTTAGTATCCATTGATGTGTTAATCCAGTATTGTTAAGTATTATAGTTATGGTCTGTGTTAACTAATTAAGTTATAGGTAGAGAAGTGAGCTTTAAAAACAAAATCTACTAAGATGTCGTTAAATGTCGTGATGTCCCAATCACTTTGACTTTAACTTTCTCTATAACTTTAATTATAGAGACAGCACGATGCTAAAAGGCATCTTAAAATTAAGAAGCATTTAGCATAGTATTTAGGCATAAAGGGAATAAAACTCTATTATTGTTGGCAAAGGAACAGTGCCCCCTCGGTCCTTGCGCTCTAGCACCGTTTCGTTACAGCCTATTAAAATCGACTGCTGCACGTCAGCCCCCCCACTCCGTAAATCAGGCCCTTAGTATTTAACTAAACTCTCCATATTTACCACCTGGTGTATGTCCACTACAGTTCATGTTTCTCCCTAGTTCTCGGTAGTTATAGGTAGTTGTAGGAGTGTTGCCTTGGTCATCACACAGTAATTAACGATCGCAGTCCCTGGTCTAGGTATTTAAGCCTTTCGTAAACAAGATTGTTAGATCTCCATCAATCGAAATCATGGTTGCCTTTTAAGACACCCACGAGACATACTGAAGTGATCTTTAACGTTCACACATATACGCGTATTTTATAGTTTTTTACCACGCAGTAAACACAAACAAATATCTAAATTATTCACGTTATAGAGCACGGACTATCACAAATATTTAGCTCTAAGCAAGTTAATCTAAAAATGTGTTTTGAACCCAGTATTATTTTTATAGGCGAGACTAACAAATACACATTCAATCTGATGGTAAGTTGTTCAGTGGACAATAGTCACCTGCATCTATTATCGATTAAAAATCAAAATACACATGTAATGTCATCTCTGTAGACTAAGATGGAATGCCTCATAATATTGTTAAGAAAGCCGGTTACGTATTGCGTCACATTGCGTAGGAATGTTCCCGACTATAAGGTTAGTGTCCTCGTCAAGTAGTAAATTGTGTAGGCATTAAGATAGATAAGGTTCAAACTATTGGCTTCTTCTCCTTCGCATATTGTTATCGTTATGTAATCGCGAGTGTTCCGGTTTAAAGAGTGAAATGACATGGATTGGCCTAGAAAGTTTTATATTACTTTTATCGAGTATAAAAGCGTGTGCCGGCGTTCGGAAAATGAATTATATCGAGGAAACGAACTCTACTCCCTGGAGTAGAGTTTGCTTTCCGGAAGCGACCACAAGCAATCGACTTATGACATCTACCAACTTCACCAAAGAAGTATAGCGATTTTGGACGACGTAGTCATAAACTTGCTATTTGTGTGGAAAAATACATCCATTGTTCAACCTAATCATCATTTTTACTCACTCCGCGCGCAAAAATATCATGTCTAATACTGGTTTTCATAATTATGTAGATTACAACGAATACTTATTTTTTTTTAAATTATCGACTGTACCATATACTATAAATTACATCAGTGATTTGTGTTTGAGATGTGGTAGCACAGGTTATAGGACTTTTTATTATTTTGTACATTGATCAAACACTTCATTTCTATATAATTACTTTTCTCAGATCTTTCGTATACTGTATCGATGCTCCGTGCCATCCATATTTATTTGGCTCCTATCAGGATACTTCGTAAAGGACATCAGTTCACCGATCGGCATTGCTGCGCACGCAGCACTAGAACGACCAGTGTTTTCTCTTATTATCGTCGTAGCTTTGCTTGGATTTATAAACAAAGTCGATAGTAAGTACATTTTAACAATTCCTTAATCAGATCGTTTATTGAAAAAAATCTTCTATAAATATTAACAACAGGCGGGACTCAAGCCACTTTACCTATAAAATTTTTAGGTGTAGTCATAGAGTTATACGTACTAGATACTAGAAAAGTTATTCCAAACAAAAACTTACGCATGCGCAGATGATATAAGCGCGCGTTGCAAAAGATGGGGCAAACGAGCACGCGGCTCACCTAATAGTGAGTGACTAACGCCTTCCATGAGCAATCGCAACACCAGGGCAATTGCAGATGATTTGCCGGCCTTTTAGAAAGGCTCTTCTCTTGAAGGTCCCTAAATCATATCGGTCCAGAAAAATTAACGGTGGTAAAAAAATTCCACGGAGAATTTATTCGAGGAAGAAAAGTCCTAGTAAAACGCACACCGGTGGACCGCCAAGCATCCAGAGTGAGGTCGGTTTCGTGAATTTTGACGCGATGTGCGTTCGTAATAGAAGACAATTTATTTTGTATGGAGGATGGGCCTACCACAAATTTTAAGGATACTTAAAGAAATTCATGTCGATTAATCCCTATAATCTTTACAATACAATAGTATTATTAGTTTTACTGCAACTAAACGGAATACTGAGGAATTAACAATTAATTTTAATTGTTGATGACAATAATCTAAAAACGAAATAAAAGCGATTTTCTAGTCGTTTTCACCGGTATTATAAAATATTACACTGTTGAATTATTACAGTACATATGAAACAAAGTTGTAGGTATATTCAGCATTTATAGGTACTTTAAAATCCATAGAAAATCTTTTCACTAGTTCCGGCAAAATATAGTTCTTGTCTGTGCAAAAATGTCATATGGATTCTATTTTTGATATGTATCAATTGATTGTGGGTGTACATTCCAAATACCATTAAAGTAATATGATTAAAGCCAAGGTGACTTATTATAATTTTACCATCACACGGTAAGAAAAATGTTTTAAACTGGTTGTATTACAAAAAAAAAAAAACGAAAGGTAAGGTTGTATTCATTATATTAAGTCATAATTTATAAAATATTCTATTAATAGTAGTACAGAAACTTTTTATTCAATATAGATTAAAAATAATACTTATTAAAAATTACTTTTTAAATTTACCACTGGTTAATATACCTCTGTCTTGAGAGTAACCAGAAAGAAATCCAGTGAGACTATTTTTTAAATAACAGCTTACAATCATGTATGTTACAAATAACAACATAGAACACATTAGAAATAGTTTGGTAGCGATCACCTTACCCAGGGGTTATTATCGTCCATAAATTCCTTAATATTGTAATAACCCTTTTTATATAAGCTTAGATTAATAAAGTTTTTGAACTTTGATGATTGATTGAGATAGATAGGGGCGGTGTTAAGACTTTGTTTTAATATGTTTTGGTTGTTTAACAAAATGACTAGGTTATATTCTTATCTATGTTGTTACACACTGATAAATAGTGAGGAAGTAAGATGTTTTAAACTGTTTGTTTAAGGATTACAAAAACAAAGGTATAATTTAATTAAATTTCTTCCTAGCGATTTGCTTCGGCTTTACACTGGTGATTTATGGATCTCGATGATAGTGCCATCTACCGGATCCAAATGTAAATATAAACCATCTAAGGATCCAATCTTGGTTAGATGGTTTCAAAGTCTATACCGGACATAGGTAGAAACAATTAAGAAAATAGTTTTATATAGATAGATTTTCAATCATCATCATTTAAAACACAGGTACTCAAGCTAGTTCAGGTAGGTAGCTCATATTATAAACTTAACTTTTAAATTTTTCCCAGCCATCTCAGATGATCCGAGAGGCTAACTGGGATTAGCCTGTTTGCAGAAACGATAACATGAATAATTTCGGTTGGCAGACCACCTAACATGTCGTTTATCTTGACGAAATCGTAATCGATTCAGGTCCAGACATTTATATAGATATTCGTCATACAGAATCGTAATGTCGACCAAGAATATCCTCGACTGTGCCCGGTCCATCAGCACAATATCAGTCTTATTCGCAAGAATAGTCCTGTCTGTGATTATAGCCCGGTCCAGTAGAGCCTGGCGCGATTATTTTCGAGTTCCGGCAAGTACTTGTATTACGGCAATTTCCGGTCCACACTTTAGACTCCTGGTGAAGAATTCTGGCTACTAGGTTGTGCCTGTGCAAGTACTCAGAGTTAGAAAGCACCGAACAACCGGAGATGACATGCCTAAGTGACTCACCGTGAGGGCGACAAGTTCGGCAGATGTCAACGGTGCCATCCTTTGGGATATATCTCCGATAGTAGTTGGTCTTAATAAACTGATCCTGTATTGTACAGACAAAACCCTCAGTCTCCCTGAAGAGGTCAACAAAGCGTAGCCAATAGAGAGAGGCTACTGTGTCTACGAAAGGCTCATGAAAAGCTTTGTAGAAACTCTCGTGGAGCTCCTTCTCCTTCCATACCAATGCTACGTACTGCCGGGTTCTACCAATGCTCGTTGGCTAAGTATAGAGGGGTAAGTTTTTAATCACAAGTGCGCTTAAAAAGTCAGGCCCACCAAGCTTTAGTGGCAAGTACAGCCTAATTACCGATGATTTTGGATGACGCACTCTATGGGACGTCATGGTAGTGCGGAACTTTCTATCCAGGGCACTAAGTTCAGTCTGAGACCACCTGAGTATGTCAAAGTTATACATGAGGACAGGCATGATACAACCGTTATATGCGTGTGTCTTATTCGTACCAGACAAAAGGCTGTTAAGCACTTTGGTCAAGGGTGCATAAAACACATCATAAACTGACTGTTTCGTACCTGCCTCATCGATACCGATGTTCTGTAACAGTAACTTGACTCTCTTTTTTTATGCCTGCAAACCAACAAAGAAAGATACAACCCAAAATGTGTTTTGGTATAACGTTACCCTACACTAGGATTTTCTCCAGTATCGCGGGGGCAGTTTGCAAACATAAATTGCACAAGGACAAACATCCAGACCCGGAAAAATTATTTGTAAGCCATATAACATACAACGTACATTGTTCCGTGCGCGATTCGAACCCGCGACCCCCAGCGCAGCTAATTGCTAAGCCACTGCTCCGCGGAATCGTCTAATATGTATATATATATATATATATATATATATATATATATATATATATATATAATATAATATATGTATAATATATAATGAAATAAATATTAGAAGAAAAAAAGAAGAAAAGAAAGACAAGAATTAAGGAAAAATAATGTCAATTAGTAGTTGCCCTCAAGGTAATGTTCTCGGAGAAGAAATTTGAAAACTTTCTTATTTGTGGCATTTTTAATATCATTGGGGAGGGTGTTCCATGTATGGCTTGTATCGTAAAAGACGACTTAAAAAATTAGACTTATGATGTGGAAACCTTAACAGTCTGACGGATTGTCTGTCGGGATGTTCGACCATCGATCGAATGAAAAAAATGAAAATTACCCTTAAGATAAGAAGGCGAAAAAAAAAAACTTTCTTTTTTTTTATTCCCCCAAAAAAAACCTTGGATCGTTTAAAAAGTGAATAAAGTACAAGTAAGATTCTAGAGCAACGCCTTTGACGTATAGGTAGCCAGTACCCGGATGACCGAGCTTTGCTCGGTTTTTTTTAAGTTACATTTATATACAAATTACATGAATAATAGTTTTTGATCTTATTGACATAATAGAAAAAACTGAACTTATTGTTATCAACTATTATAACTACTATATTACTATTTAATTATATAACTATTTACTTATTGGTTATTTGAATAAAAATCACGAATGCAATTAGATTAATTAAAATTTTGGTATTTTTAAAAAATACTAAAAAAAGGGCTCGAAATAATAGATTTTCTCACAAAAGAAGGGAACTTGAAAAAAAAAAGGAAAAAAAGTCAGACTCAAGACGGGACGCGAACCACGGAACGCCGATATCACGCCCGAACAACATCCCATCTGAGCTATTACGACCATCGGTAACCTGTCAAAATTTATCTTCTTATATTGTAGCAGTTTTTTTATTGCCTGAAAATACGGACAAAGGGACATTTTCTAAAAATAAATCCTAGCTAGATCGATTTATTGCCCCCGAAACTCTGGACACTAAATTTTATGAAAATCGTTGGAGTCGTTTCCGAGGTTCCGATTATATATATATACCACGTATATATATATATATATATATATATATATATATATAAGAATTGCTCGTTTAAAGGTATAGGATTTAAGCTTTGAACGATGCGATGAAATGTGGTCATATTTACGTACACTAAAAATAAATCTTATGGAATTATTAAGAAGGCGCTCCAACTTGTTTAGAAGATTTACTGACTGATCTGGGTAACATACATCTGCATAGTCGATAATAGATAGAATGAAGGAATGAACCAGCGCAAGCTTTGTTTTGAAAGTTAGGAAATTTTTAAGACGATGAAGTGAACGCAAGGTAGCAACAACTTAACGACTAACTGCAGAGATCAGAAAATTTTGCACTTATGGAAGAAGCTTACAACAAGAAGAGAAGAAGAGAGGGATTGATCGCTGAGTATTTGAATGTTATATAAATAAATGATTTTAAAAATTATATGATATATTCTTTATTATGAAGTGGCAGAGAAGTAAAATTTGTTTTTATGTATGTCTTAGTTTTTGTTAGTGTCGACTGTACGAGTAGATATTAGGAAACTAGGGACAACACCAACTACTTTATCGTAGTTTCGTTGGTATAGGACATACATGGTTGTACGTCCAATATGAATATATTCAATATATGCATAAATTTTGTACATTCTGGGACGATCAATAACAACCAAAACAATACAATATACTTGTGGCGGCGCTGTCGTCGCGCCACAAGCGAAACACCGAAGTAAAACAGTATATAACATAGCCCCTAACTGTCACTCGGAGCATTGGCTGCTCCCCGGGCAGAACACCTAGCCCTGCGGGAGATCTCCCCTTTTCCTTTCACGGACTACCACATACTAAAAAATATAGTGTTAAGGTATATAGCTATCTTTATTAAGCAAACATAGATTGATTAAAATATCCATCTTACAATTTTTTTTAAATAATATATTAATTTATTACCTAGGTCTATGGTGGCAGTTTCTGTCGTGGGATGGCTGGCGACCACTCAGTCGCATGTCGCTACCCATTTTGCTCGTGCATTGGAGCTACAATCTTACACAAATTGCTCTGAATACGAACCTTACAGAAATGTCTATATTCGCAGTTGTAAGTAACTTTATAATGTGTGTACACTTTATTTTAGATATGACATCATTTTATAGTTCAGTGCCAAAGTTAGCCAAGTAGAATTATTATAGAACTTTACGATAGGGACTAATCGGCTTGTAAAATGTCTTATCATCATTACTTTGAAAGACCAAATTTATAGTATAAACCGTTTATATGGCATGGAAAAACATGAAATACTGCGTTATTTTTCTGCATAACCGTTAACTTCCGTTTGTATTAATAACATCTTGTCCTTTATTTCGTAAGAAGAAGATTCCTTTCTTATAAACTTCGAATTCAATTTCGATTTTTAATTTTTCTTTTGAGTCATACGTTTTTCTGTAATTAACGAAAGGGATTCTCTTTGCGAGATCGGGTTAAAGATTGGTTCAAATATTGTTTTGAGTCAAATAAGCTACGTGAGGTGTAGTTGTTTAGCGTTATTATGGAGGCAGTAGGGTATTTTACACCATGTAAAATAAAATCAAAAAATATATATTTATGATAGATTTGTTATTATATATTGTTATTAGTTGTGATAGATTTTGTAAAAGTAAACAAGAAATATTGATTTTTGTTTATAAAGTTTTAAATTTCCATTTTAAGAATATTTTTTATCGTCTGTTCCTCAAATCTGCAAAACGCTGTCGGCCATATCAGAACATGTGACGTCTCTGATCCAGCCTAAGGATATTAGTGTTCTGTGTCACTGATTAAGAGAACTAGCTAACGTGCTTACGACTATTGAGTTTCGTTACAACTATATGTGTTTTCGTCTATAGCACTCTCCCCATATGCCTTATAATATTTTGTGCGATTGATATTTTACGAGCTTCGGATGCATTGTAACCTACATTAAATTCACAGGATGCGTTCCTTGCTAAACAACGTCTTAACCGTGTGACTGTTAAATCTGACATTTTAGTGCAAAGAACACTATTATTCTCTACCGGGAGAGGAATGGGATCTCAAAACTAAAGAAACGAATCACGTCTTTATGAGTGTATACTACTAGCGCCACAGCAGGTGCACATATAAAACTTTTTTCGCGGAACTATCAATCCTTTGTATAATCGACCCGACAGGTGCGTTACTATAATCGATAAACTGCGTGCGAAGCGTGACGATTAAAGCAAATCCTATAAATAATGGCTTTTATGGGTCGATGATAAAGAAGAAGAATAGAAAATGATATATTAATTGTTTTTTTGCAGAGTGGGCACTGGCTCCTGACTTTAGCCTTGACTTATGTAACATCTCTGCCGCTGCATCTTCTCATCGAAGTGCCTATGATGCAGTTTTTCAAGGCGCTCTTTTCTTAATACAACTTATTCCTAAAACTTACTGTAGTTACTAGTTTGGACAAAACTTAATAAATATACGTCTCACTTTGTTCTCAATAAATTAAAAGTATGACGCATGCACAATAACATGAGAATAGCGTGAAATGCTATGTCCCCGACCGCTCCTCGTCGCACCTCCCTACTTGCTATTGCTTGTACAGCGAGCGATGATTGTAAGTTTTGTTAAGGTGGGCTCATACGGGCAACTAAAATTGCTCAATTCCAGTCAATACTCGTCAACTAAAACGTCACGACTACTTCAAGCAATTTACGGCAACGGCAACAAGCATCAATACTGCGCAATACAATATTGAGCGATATGGCGCAACTTCATCAACTAGGCAATATTGTCCTACACGAGCATTTCAGTATTCGCTCGCTATGGACGACATTGTTCTTGCTGCGGCGGCTTGTAGCGCTTTTTTATTATTAATCAAAAACAAAAAAGAAAGAAAAGGAATAGGCGTATCTGGGTGCGATCGTTTTTGGCAAAGAGGCCTCAATTTTCATTGTGTAAAGAATTAGATGATATATTATTCAAAAACTTTACTAGAATGTCACGAACAGACTTTGAATTACTTTTGAATAAATAAAATTTGAAATAATTGAAGCAAGACGGCAAGCCGCAAAACAAACAAGTGCGAATGAGATATATACAAAAATTGCTAGGAATTTCCAAGCCCATTGGATATTCGTCAATTCGTATCTGCGACATTCAGCGATATGAAATATCTGGATCAATTAGAAGCAATATCGCCGAAATAATCGCCGCAATTTGCTCCATTGCTTTGAAATTACTCCATTAATTGCTCCAGATCGGTCCATTCGTGTCGCCGAGCAATTATTGCCCTCGTGTAAGCGCACCTTTAGATTACATCATGAAGTAATATATTATTATACATTATAAAGTTTTTGTACACTGTACAAGTATACCGCTCTGAGGTCACCGAAATTAGGTTTTATGTTAACAGGCACGAGTGGTATAACTAAATTATAAAGTTGCAAATGTGAAAACGGAACGTATAATGTTTTAAAACTACTAAATAAAGGAACTTTAACGTATTACATATTTGTATTATTTGTAATTAAACAATTAAATACTTTTACGCAACATATCTACTATTATATTTCTACAATTCACCAACCTTTTCCTTGCTCATTCGTTATATAGGTATGTATGATTTGAGATGTGAGGGAGGCTCACATGCCATATGGACCGCCTGCATGTGAAATAATCTGTGCCTAAGAAAACATTGTTGGATGAATTAATAATGGAATCTTCATCCTCAGTGTGTGACCTGTCTGAGATTGTCAGTTTTCACAAACCACATATTTCTTATCTTTATACCACTATTACAGTTATTTGTATGGAGCGAGGATTATAAAAAATTTTTACCTACTGTGTCCTGGATTTCATATGTTACAATTTTTATTATCTTTGTAATATACTTTTACGTGGTGTAGCCACGCAGCAACCATATTATAGTTGCTGTAGCATGAATAGATCGGCTCGACTGGGGAAGGACCACGCTCTCTCAGAAAACCAGCGCAAAATAGTAGCTTGATGCTGCTGTGTTTCGTATGGTGAGTGTAGAGAACTGGAGACCCTTTTTACTGGAAACGAGGCATTCCATCTTAGTCCTCACGGGTGATAACGCATCTGCATTTTTATTCGCAAACGAGGACAGATGTGGATGTCTATGGGCCACATCACCCACTTACCATCAGGTGGACTGTGTGCTCGTTTGTCACCCTATCCTATAAAAAACGATACACTTTTCCCTTCCTTCAAAGAAATTTTCCTATCCTTGACATATTTCTCGTATGATTGTTTATGTGTGTATGAACAGACTTAATCAAATTTTTTAATAAATTTTTAATTCATGATGAGCCGTGGGAGCTCAGATGATTAACGCTCGCTGTAAATATAACAGAACGCGAGTAACCCGGGTTCGATTCCCGCCGGCACCAATTAAAATTTTAATTGCAATTTTAAGTGCTGATTTACCATGTGCTCGGTGGTGAAGGAAAACATCGTAAGGAAACCTGCATGTCTGAGGAATAAGATAAAAAAAATATTTCGAAGACATGTGAAGTTCGCCAACACGCAGGCATTGGGGCAGCGCGGCGGACTCTTCCTTGCCCTAAAACCCTCTTAGAAATGAGGGGCGGCGTGTGCCCAGCAGTGGGACGTATATAGGCTGTAACTTTACTTTTTTTACTTTTAATTCATAATGATTTGGTTATGCAGTCTTCCAAATAGTAATTGATTAGGGGAATATTGAGTTCAACAAACAGGATTGTTTTATATTCTATTTAGTAGTCTTTGGTATCCTTAAAGTTTCCTTATACATTTTAAACATAATTTTAAATATAACTACTGCCTTCTCTGCAGCAACATTGCGCTGGTGATAGTAAGGACTTAAAAACAGTACTTCGAACTGTCACTCCTTACTGAATCTCAGAAAAGATATTCAGTTAATTAACAATTTGTCACACAACAATATTTCAGGTGTTTGATGAAAACATAATAAAGTTTTATTTAAATATTAATATATTTATATAATCTTACTATTCAGTTAATGCATTTTTATCCACTTTTAGTAGTGGTTGGTTAGAACTAATTATTCACCATTGCCATAATTTAATATGTCTACTAAAAGATGATCAGACGATAAGCCAGACTTATCATTTGAGCATGTTCTAAACAAGTTCTAACAACCATGGATCCTGCAAAATTATTTCGTAAGAATTTTTTATATATTGTAACGTGTGAGCATTATATCAAAATATCAGTAATGCCATCTATTGTGTTATTAAGAACTATTGTACGTTTGTATCACAATTATGTTCTTGAATAAATTCCTTCAATTGCTCTCCGTCTGACATAAAGAACGTTGTTTTAAATTATATTTTATGTGCCTAGCGCTCAGCCCAGTGTATTAAGTTTTAATGCGTATTAGTAGTTTATTTTGTTTTAGTTTGACGACTCCGTGGCGCAGTGGCTTAAGCAATGAGTGGCTGCGCTGGGGGTCGCGGGTTCGAATCCCGCACGGAACACGTATTTGTATGGCCTACAAATAGTTGTTTCGGGTCTGGATGTTTGTCCTTGTGCAATTTATGTTTGTAAACTGCCCCCACGATACAAGAGAAAATCTTAGTGTAGGGGTAACGTTTAAAAAAAAAAAGAAAAAAGAATTCTCAAGTAAAAGTAGCGAAACATAGCAAAGTGTAATTCAGTATTTGCAATAAAAGTTTGCAAGAATAACAACGAACTACCTAGTAAATATTCCTAAGCTAAAAGGGTGGGAGAACTACAATGAGTAGATTTTCGCGGCGGAGAATTTTTTGATCCTGGAAGAGAAGTTGCACTGCATAAAGCCAGAAGCCAGGAAAATAATAGAAGCCTCAGTCAACGCGAGAACCAAGGCAAAATTAATAATGACTATAGATAGTGCGTTATAGTTCAAACGTGAAGACTTAATTGGAGCTATGGAACAAATTAAAGGCATTATTTGATGATTCAGGATTTTCACGAAGAATATCTCTTTTACGTAATTTGATTCGCCTAGAAAATTGTGTTTCCATGCAGTCGTACGTAACGCAATTAGTCGAAACATGACAAAAGTTTAAGTAGGACAGGATTTAATATCAGTGACGAGTGGATAGGTTGCTTAATGTTAGCGGGGCTTTCTAAAAGTTCATACCCATGATAATGGCGACTGAACATTCAGGCATACAAATCACAACAGACGCCATTAGAACAAAACCAGACCTCTGTCACTCTTGCTACCTGTGTGAAATAATTACCTAAAATGTTAACTTTTTTAATTACCTAAAATTTTAACGCTGTTTACGTAAATAGTTTTATGTAAATACTAAATACTTGTCGAAATAGTTTTTGTTTAGTGTTTAGTATATTTAATTGTAGGTAAAAATAGTTGTAAAAGTTTTAATGTATTTTAAAAATTATATATTATGTATATATTACCTATTTGATAAATTATAATAGCAAAACGTCGTTCCTACTATAACTGGATGGATACTAAATGAAATGACCAACAAAAGGTTTCATATCATTCTTTAAGTTACCGAAGAATTTTAGAAGGAGATTATGAAAGGTGAATTTATTTAAGTTTTTTGTTAGATAGGTACTTACAGCAAAAAAGAATTAAGTAATAATTTGGTCTACAGAAGAAATACCTAAGTACTTTATTACAAAATTTTTTTAAAATTTGCTTCACTATCCAAGTATTTACTTACATATATACCTATTCTTGTATTTTGTACTAAATATTTTAAGTTATAATAACACAAAATACTGAAATTAAAACTTTGTATACTAAGAAGATTTTTTAGTAAGTAGAATACTCGTAGATCACATTTCTGTTAGTAATCGTATTTCAGGTTTATTTGTTGTTTACACTATCTACCTATTTCTTCCGAACCAAGCGTGGCGATGAATGACCTTGCAATTTGCATGCGTTAGGCATCGCAGAACTCACATAGGGGCGAAAGTATGGTAGTCGATCATAGTCAGAATAGGTACTTCACCTAAGTAACATAATTAACATTTCGCAATGTATTTTTTTACTTTCTATTGACATCCCTTAATAACCACGGAAAGTCCGCCGTGACTTAGGAGGCGGAAAAGATGCAAAGTAATATGGACACTGACGCGCAGCGATAAAGTTTTATTTAGCTTGCGTGCGCAATTTATCTGATTAATAATAATTATGTAGGCTATTAAACGTCGGCAAGCAGTTGACATCAAAGGAGTGCAACTTCTGTACGTAGTACTATTATTTATTCGGTGACAAAACTCATGGATATGGTGGAAACGGAAGTAAGCGGTCAAAGAAATGGCAACATTGGCAAGAAAAATAATAAATTGTCTATGGCCAACGCGCACAGATACTAATGGTGGTTAATAGAGCGCATAGCGCACTATTATAGCGCGCTATCTCTCCATAACAAATAGCGCGTGCTATGTAAGTAGTCGCCATGACGCTATTGAGCTATGTGGCGCTTTGGTGCTATTAAGGTGAATCCCTGACCAAAATGTTGCGAAAGTACGTTTTTCAGACTCTATTATCTCATTAGTTATGAAAAATAAACTACATCTAAAAGTACATTATTAATGTTCGATATCTTATCATCGCATTCGACGTTCTAATTTATTTTTATGTGCTATAAATACATTTAAAATCAACTTTTAAATAATGTCTAAAATTCTTGATTACATGCATCTGTTGCTAAACGCAACGCTCTAATTATTTGAGGATAACACTAATGGATAGACAATTAAAAAATCTATATTCTTCACGTTTTATTTAAATTTTTAAGTTCGTTTTTTCTCTTTTAATTGAAATAATTCCGAAAATTGTGTGACTTCTATGATAAAGGGGCGTGCGCAGAGTGCGGGCGGCATTACGCTGTATGCGTTCATAGGAGGTGGCCGCGTCGCTGGTCGCCGCGTCCGTATTTCGCCGCAAACATAATATTATTTGAGTACCTACCAACCGATGCGCTTACGTCACGGTATATTGTAACTCGGCCGTATCTTAGAAATAAATCTTACAGCCGTGCGGTACGTAAACATGCGACAGGGCTGCCTGCCTCCAGCATTTTTACATTTGCCCATTGATTTATGTGTTTTATAACTCAATGCATTTTCCTACTTTGTGTTTCCATTTAGTTTTATGATTGTACTTAAATATACTTTTTTATATAAACAAATATGTAATAGGTACTTTGTGAATTGAATAGGAAGTGTTCAATAAAAATGCGTGTCGTTTTATGATTGGTAGATTTAATTAAAAAACCATGTTTATGTTTGAATAACAAATCGGTCTTATAAATTTGCGGCCGAAAAATATTTGTGCCTCGGCTGAGACGTACGAAATGCTTTATTATTAAAATTTTAAATATAAAAAATCCGCATTATAATATAAAGCTTAATTAAAAATTGTTTTGGGAAACATGGACAAGTTGGAGTAAAGGAATATCTTTTACTTGGTTATAGATACCTGCAGCTACTTACAATTTATATGTTTGGTTTTAAATGAAGTTTAGATTTATTATTTTTTTATTTCTATTCAATTTTCTGAAAGGGTCCTAGGAAAGGAATTATCCACCGCACTGCCCCACTGCGTGTTGGCGAACTTTGCATGTCTTCGAAATATTTTTTTTCTTATTTCTCAGACATGCAGGTTTCCTCACAATGTTTTCATTCACCACTGAGCACGTGGTAAGTCAACACTTAAAATTACAATTACAATATTATTGGTGCTGGCGGGGATCGAACCCGGTTTTGTTCGCACACTGTGAAAATTTTAGCAAGTGCTAACCATCTGAGCTACCACGGCTCCTCTCCTCTCGAGCTAGAGACTTTATTTTATTTATCGTCAGGCCTGTTGGTCTAGTGGTTAGTGACCCTGACTGCTATGCCGTAGGCGTGGGTTCGATTCCCACCCAGAACAAATGTTTGTGTGATGAGCACTTCAAAATTTTATTGTGTGAGTATTTTAAACTATTTTTACGGATTTGATGAACCATATTAAATAAAAAATAGTCTCCTATCTTTCTCTCTATCAAGGCAAACTTAGGGTAGGCTTGTCAATTATTATTTTGATAATAAAACTAGTGAAATTCCGCGGTTTTATATGCGCAAGCGTGAACGTAGTTAGAACATAATATAACCTTTATGTTTTACATAAATATCCTAAAAAACTTATTATTTTAATATTTTACTAAGTACCTACAAAATTAACAAGTTTATTGCATTTTTATTTGAGTAATTTTTTATGCAATTTATTTATCTACGTCTATTTTTAGGAACCTTTATTTAGTCTGAATCATACATAACACTATATTACTGATTTACTTACTTATAGGTAGTTTTCTTTTTTTGCAGTTACAAATATCTTGTGAGGTTGAAAAAGGCAGTTATGAAAAAATAATAAGAATAATAATAATTGACGTCAGCCACTTCTTTTCATAAAAATATCGGATCATGGTCCATTAGGTTGCAGCTTCACCGAACCACAACTTATAATAATAATAATAACAGTAATAATATAATATCATTTTTTATATTTGGATGATGGAATATGCAAAAACGCGCAAAGGGCCGCTGCCTGGAGGTCGCCAGGGCGCGTCTGGAGCTGGCGCTGGACGCGACAGCATGCGAACCGCCAGCCGAGCGAGAGGTGCTGCACGACCACCCATCAGCCCCTCGCATCCATCATCCCCACCAGCTGGCTTGGTGTCGGCAGGGTCTTCGCGGGCCTAGCAATCGGCACCCGCCACTGGTGGAGTACGCCGCATGCGATGGACAACCGAAATGAATATTAACGCATTGCGGGCGCATTTTAGGGCGAAACGGGGAGAAGTTGGATGTTTGGCGTATCGGGCTAGGATGCATCGTCTTTTTGCTGAGCTGGAGCCATCTTTAACCGTCTCAGAGCAAAACCTGGCAGACCGGGTTCGGTATATCTTGCGCTCAAATATATTTGATGTCGCCGAACTTGAACGACTACGACGTGAGGCTGTTCCCTCATCGGATGAAAATGCTACGGCTGAGGATGCGGCGCCACAAATTGCAGAGCAACCCGCAAACGTGAATGCCGCCGTGCATACTCCAGTTGTGGTTGATTCAAACGATGATGGAACAGTCGCCCAGGAACTGGAATTAGAGCATATGAGGAGTACATTGGAAGAGGCGATTGTGGAAACGCGCAGTACGCCTCTCGAAAATCGACCGCGACTTCCCCACATAGCCCTAAGCAAAGCGGAATCGGGCTGTGGTGAGGGCTCTGAACCCAATGCTGGTGACCTATTTGGAAGCCAGCCGGGACCTTTGCGAGACGGACTCAATTCTTTTTGGTGCCGCACTGGCAGTGTGCCGTATTATAGGCGCCAAATTTTCCACGGCTGGACGCACTACTGGACAAAGTAGCGCTATCCCAGCCTGGAGAATAAGAATTGAAGAACGTATCGCAAAGGATAGGGCCCTCATCGGCAGACCGATATTCTTCAGGTCAGGCAATAACAGGCCAAGGATTATGCGCACCGTCAGGATGGGATTTGCTGGGACAAATATTAGTTTGTCCCTGCCGGATATAATGCAAAAACTGACGGAGCGCATAGACGACCTGAAGCAGAGAATCGCTGTTTGGGGAAAGCGGATTCGGCGATATACCGAGAGGTCGACACGGTTTAACCAGAATCGTCTCTTCCAGAGTGATCAGAAGAGGCTCTATAAATCTAAATGGTAAGTGGAACGGGCCCAGCACCGAATCAGGCCGACACTGTAGCATTCTGGCGCGGCCTGTGGTCAGACCCCATAAACCACAGCGAGGGCCCTTGGACGGAAGTTGTGGCGAGTCAGTGTGCGATAATAACAATAATAATATAATATTATTTTGTATTTATAATAGGGGGATAAGTCGCTCGCGTCCGTAAGCTCTGACCACCTATTCCTAGGCCCACCCTACACGTGCCCCCGGGTGGTGCTGAATGAGCGACAAGCCGATAGCACAGACTCGGCTCCACGCCCTGGTAGAGGCGTAAAATATACCACCCTTTATCCGCACCATGAGGAACAATATAATAGAAATGGCCCCGAGTTCCCGGCGCCCCTTTAATGGGGCAGGGGTGCGAAGAATCTCCGGGAGGAGAACCGGCGACGAGGTTCGCCACCCGTCACGTTCTGTCTCCCGGAGAGGCGAAAAGTGGATTGCAGAGGTCCGTCTGGCTACGTTGAATGTATGTGGGGCAATGAATGATAAAATGGATGAAGTATGCGATATGATGAATGATAGAGGAATAGATGTGTTATGTGTAAATGAGACGAAAAGGAAGGGAAAGGATGTCACTACACATGGCATGTATACCGCATACTGGTCTGGTGTAGACGAGATCGAGCGGGCATGCCAGGGAGTAGGTATCATCCTTTCAGAAAGAATGGGCCAATGTGTGAAAGAGTATGAATGTGTAAGCCCAAGACTGCTGTGGATACGAATGAAAGTGGGCTTAAAGAAGTTGTTTGTGTTAGGGGTCTACGCCCCAGACATGTCTAAGCCCACTTATATCCGAGAGCAGTTTTGGGAAATGGTAAGGATGGTGTTAATGGAGTGTAAGGGAAATGAAAATATTATTATGCTAGGAGATTTTAATGGAAGGGTTGGGGTGAGGAGGCTTGGTTATGAAAGGATATTGGGAACGTTTGGTGATGAAAGTATAAATGAGAATGGTGAAAGTCTCCTCACCGTATGTATGGAAAAGAATCTTTTTGTGACGAACACTTGCTTTCGCCACAAGAGGATTCACATGTATACTTGGGAAAGAGGTGACGATAGAAGCATGATAGATTTAATAATTGTGGATGAAAGATTGAGGGGCGCAGTTGTAGATACAAGGGTTTACCGGGGTTCTAACGTAGGAACGGATCATTATTTGGTTCTATGCCGAATTAATGGTCTATTCAGGCGTTGGCGCCATCGGTCATCTGTGTCTACCACTGCGTTACAGCGTATTAGAACAGAAAGGTTACAAGATGAAGGTGAGAAAAAGAAGTTCAAATGTAGACTGAAAGAAAATATAAGTGGTTTGGATGAATTATGTATGAAGGAGTTAGACTTGGAGAATGTATGGCAAAATGTAAAGAAAGGTTTAGTGGATGCAGCTACCGAAGTATGTGGTGTTAGTAAGAGAAAGAATGAAAGGAAAAATAATACGTTATGGTGGGATGATGAGGTACGTATGGAAGTTGAAGCAAAGAAGAGAGCATGGCTAGATTTACTAGCAACAAAGGCTGGTAATTCTAGCGGTACGAATGATGATATTGAAAGAAAAAAGGCAGTCTTTAGACATCTTAATAAGAGAGTAAAAGAAGTAGTTGAAAGAAAAAAGCAAGAAAGAACGGATAAGAATGATAGAAGAATATCGGATAATTTCCAGGCAAATATTAAAATGTTCTGGAAACTTGTAAGAACTGCCAGGGGACATTCAAAACAGCCTATGATGAATGCTATAAGAGACGAGAATGGCTATATTCTGAATGATGAAGTTTTGAGTTTAAAGAGATGGAAGGAATATTTTGAAAGCGTGTTTATGAGTGAGGAGACAACGTGTGTACTAAGTGAAGTAGAAATTCCGAAGGAAGAGGAAAGAGGTAGCGAGATTAGTGTAGGTGAAATAATGAAAGCAATGAAAAGCATGAAAGCAGGTAAGGCTGCCGGATATGATAGAGTTTCACTCGAAATGCTAAGGGCTGGAGAGGAAGTGGTGGCAGGCCTGCTGCACACCTTGTTTAATTTATGCTGGGAACTGAAGCGGGTACCGGTAGACTGGTGCAAAGCCGTGATAGTCCCAGTATATAAGGGAAAAGGGTCGCAGCAGGACTGTAAAAACTACCGTGGCATCAGCCTTCTTAGCATTGTGGGAAAACTGTATGCTAAGGTACTGATTGAAAGGGTCATGAAAGAAACTGATGGAAAAATTTGGGATGTGCAAGCAGGATTTAGAAAGGGAATGGGATGTACAGATCAAGTCTTTTCCATGCGCATGATCGCGGAGAAGTTTTTGGCCAAAAACCAAAAGGTTTTTTGTGCGTTCATGGACTTGGAAAAGGCCTATGACAGAGTGAATAGGGATGTGCTATGGCAAACACTGAACTCATTTGGGTTGAGCGCTGGCTTGATACGGGCATTGGAGTCCCTTTATAGGGACTCTAGTGCTTGTGTTAGGATCAACGGGATCTACTCGGACTGGTTTGACATCCATAAAGGTGTCAGACAGGGCTGTGTAGCTTCCCCGTGGCTGTTCAACCTATTTATGGACAGTTGTTTGCAAAATTTGAAAGTTGAAGAATGCGGATTAAGAATGGGTGAGTTAACCGTCAAATGCCTTTTGTACGCCGATGATCAAGTTATACTTGCGTCGTCGGCGGCCGAGTTGCAAATGATGGTTACATTAATGAACAGATCATTAAAAGAAAGGGGTATGAAAGTGAACGCAAGTAAGACGAAGGTTATGGTTTTTGAAAGAGAAGAAAGTAAAACGATTTGTGAAATAAGAATAGAAGGGGAGTTGATCGAGCAAGTAGACGAGTTTGTATATTTGGGCTGCGTATTTAGCAGGGATGGGAGATATGATAAGGATATAGAACGACGAGTGAATGCGGGAAATAGAGTAAATGGGGCCCTGCACTCTATAGTGAAGAGTCAAAATGTGTCGAAAAAGGCACGTATGGCAATTCACAATGCTGTGTTGGTCCCTACTTTAACATATGGTAGTGAAAGTTGGGTGTGGCAGAAGAAGCACGAGAGTAGAATGAACGCAGTAGAAATGCGGTCGTTAAGGAGTATGTTAGGGCTGAATCTTAATGACAGGGTAAGAAATTGTGTAATAAGAGAAGAGTGTGGTTTGCAAGATGATGTTGTGACCAGGATTAAGAAAGGAATGCTTCGGTGGTTTGGTCATGTGGAAAGAATGAATGAGGAAAGAGTGACAAAGAAAATTTATGTTGCAGAAGTGAATGGCAGAGTCGGAAAGGGACGTCCTAGGCGAAAATTTATCGACCAAATTGGCGATTTATTGAAAACGGGCCAAATTAGGAGTACCCTTAACCGACGAGCATGTATGCGGAGGTGTATGGATGTGAAGGAGGCGAGAGAGGTGTGTCAGGATCGTGCCAAATGGAAGTCTGTAGTCTCTGCCTACCCCTCTGGGTGACAGGCGTGAGTGTTTATTATTTTTATTATTATTATTATTATTTTGTATTTATTTTATTTTATTGATATTTATGTCATTAATATATATTTATATAACCGAACGAGATGAGAAAATTATACGGCTCCAACGATTTTAGCGACGGACGCTTGGATTTATTTTTAGAAAATGTCCTTTTGTCCATGTTTTCAGGCAATAAAAAAACTGCTACAATATAAGAAGGTAAATTTCGACTAATCGTTAACGGTCGTTATAGCTCAGGTGGTATGTCGGTCGGTCGTGATATCGGAGTTCCGTGGTTCGCGTCTTGGCTTTGGTCCCGCTTTTTTTCCCTTTTTTTTTCAAGTTCCCTTCTTTTGTGAGAAAATCTATTATTTCAAACCCTTTTTTTTAGTAATTTTTAAAAATACGAAAATTTTAATTTTAAAAATTTAAAAAAAAATATCTGTTTAGTTACTAATGCTATATTTATTATTTTAATAATTACCTACCCAGTAGGTAAATATTAAAATAATAAATGTAGCATTATAAACAGTAAATCTCCCTCAAACTCAATTTACTAATATTGTTCCTAAATAAGGATTATTATAAAGATTAGTAGGTAACAACTATTGCTCCTCAAAATTATATTTGACCTCAAGATAAAACATATCCTAAAATTCAATGGCTAAATAAAATAATAATAACTACTATTCAAGTATATTTTCAATATGTAAGTAAATGAAAATAACAAAAATGAAGCACCATTAGCATGAAAAGTTCGAATCCATAATTAATATTTCGACAAATATTATAATTTACACTATAAAACGCTAATTCAATATTAGCAGTATAGTATATAGTTAAAAATAATCAAAATAGTCATTTTTATTAATTAGATAATATATTAGAATACATAATTCTAATATAATGCAACTAATATAACGAATAAAGAAAATTAAAATACATTTATCATTGTACGCCGTGTCTATTTCCATAGAATAGTTCATTGATGTCGAAAAAATAATACTACTTTCGTAGCAGTAGGTGGCGTCTTTTGGCGATTTCTTACCCGATATATTGTAGCGAGCGTCGACAGACCAAATGCTCAAGGTCGTTCGCTGGAGGTAGCGCCTTAAGTATAGAGGCAACTAGTTCTAGCAGCAGCGCTGTTGGGAGAGGATTTGTGACGCAAATTTGATCTAGTGGCACGCTATTCATCGCGCGCGACCTAATTTAGTGTTA